TTCTTCTCATCCTATCGCTAGGCTCGGAGCCGCGGCAACAGTAGAGACTGTCAATGAGGGTCGTGGCAGGACTGTGAGAAGCATAGAAAGACAAGGCTGGAAGGAATGGGACGAGAGTGTGCACTAGAATGGTAGGGATTAGCCACGCAAGGAATCGCACATGTAGAGGATGACGTACATGGGAGCCATCTGCTTCGTCTGTGCGGCCGTGCGGGGTTCAACCCATCATGCATCGTCCTTGGAGATCAAAGGATCGGACAGGGAGCGTCATCTGTGGCTACGCGCCTGCGCCTCCACTGGTGTGCATGGGCCGAAGGCGAGTCATCTATTACCTCCTCTTGACCTAGCATCATAGTAGTCCCCTAGACGTAGGGTTTCAAATGACCATTGACCATAACATGCATCCAAATTTACGTCCTTTATTGCTCTCCATGGCAACGACGACACCGAGAAGTGGTTGCTGTGTAGCATTCCTCTGTATTCAACAATCGACAGTTTGGGGACTTTCAATGCACCTATGAATCTTGATGCTTCGTCGTCTGGCGAGGTAGTATCGAGTAGGCAGCATCGTACGGTAAGCCGGACTAGCTCGGGGAGCTCTAGTCTTCCTCTATTGCAGAGATTCAAGCATGATGCGTGGGAGATATGAACAGATAAATGGCGCCAACGATGGGCATACTGAACACAGAGCTAGATGGGCGTCTGGAAGCACTCGTTCTCGAACAGTTCATCATCTGGAATACCGTGATGTCGATGGTAAGAAGACTGCGTCGCGATCGTTCGATACACGCCGCTACCCTGTCCTTGTCGCACAAGCTTCGTATGGATACCGAGTCCACAAGCTGGGACAACCGAGGGCGATGGATCGCTAGCGAGCGCAGACTAGAGAGAGGAGGAATGGGACTTTCATGAACCGAGACAAGGTATCACGAAGAAGTTCGAAGGTGATACAAATTATCTCAGGAGGAAGATTATGGATGGACGGCGTGGGTACTGTCCAGAGCTGGATGTTCGGAGCGCACCACTGACTGCCCTCCGAAGCTGTTGCTGCCAGGAGGAGACGAGGGAATAGGCGCAACCGTTTCACTGGACTAAGGGAGGGTTCAGTGAGAAAATACGATGGCAAAAAGGGATACGCACCTGCTGACTTTCATCCATATTTCTATGAACTAGTGGAGCAACGCGACTTGCACTGCAACACAACGTATAAGCACTTTCGGGATTATGGTTGATCACATGGTGCGAATATTTACCGTTTTTTAAATGACCGTACTGGTTCTTTATTGCAGCATCAAGAGACTGGTAAGTGTTGAATATAGTTCGGACATCGTGACGTCGTTGTAAGAACTGGTTGAAAAGAGCGGAGTTCCAACTCGTGGCATGATCACGGTCAACCGGACCGATGTCAAAAGCCCGAGTTTCTCCCTTCATTCATCCGGTTATGCCGTGCAAGGATCCGTCTACAAATCTTCAACCTAGTGTTTGTTTTATATTTCTCTTCACTGTTCCACTTGCGTGGCTACCAAGTTCACAGACCACCAACAAATTTCTAGTATATGCGTCAGCATTTCAGCTCCAGGGCAGAAAGCTTTCAACGGGTGCGGAAACAGATGATTATGCAGTGCGACTACCCATACTTTAGAAAGTCAATGTACTCCAAAAAAAAGTTATACTTGTATCTGTAGTTTCTGTGCACAAAACTCTTGTGACGGATATAAGGTCGAGACCGAGAAGGGAGAACCGGTACCTACATGGTTTGACGCAGCATGCGCTGGGCCCTGGGACGTTATGGTCCAGCGCCACTCCTCGATGATCTCGCACCCGATAGAAGCATTCGATATTCCCGCCCCAGTTCACGATCCACGACTCAATAGCGTTCGTTACGCACCAGCTGCGGACTTAGTCATTTCCCATCTCCCTCGGGTTTCATTTCTCCCCGTGGGATGGGGATGATATCCCACGGAGAGGTCGCCATCTGTACTAGAAATAAGATGGCCGACGGAATCCACCTACTCCGACGGTCGCCTGTGAGTTCCTACTGAATTATTCAGCCAGTTGAGCACTGCGGGTCAGCCGCTGAGACGAAACTAAAGCAAGTTCAGAGAAGACAAATCTGGATATCTGCGTATCCGCAATTCCGGATGCGATGCTCGTTGTCAGTCGAATAGATTCACGTCAACATTAAATACAAAGTAATACCTGGGACCATTGAGAAGTCACGGTGGCGGTGGTGAGATGCACCTGATGTTGTGACCTTCAACGTATAATATATAGCCATTGCGCTCTATGTCGATTTGATATTGCTCAAAAGTGGCAGTGGAAAGACACAGTGGGAAGCCCTCTCCTATGAGGCACTCTACGTGTTCACGCTCAAGAACCAGAAATGCGGCCAAGCAATATGTTCCCAAACACATGGAACCAGTCAAAGTCCCGCGATCCAGGTGAGAATCAATTTGGAGGTTTTGTCATGTGTGTGAAGGTATCGTACAATGGCATGAGAGTACACATATAATCATCGGCGATGTGACTTTGGGTAAGCTGAAGCTGAGCTCAGGAACTCCTTACCGGAGAAGCACTTTAGCTGTACTGGAAAACATCTTCAGAATTAGGAAGCGCAGTACGTGAATGGAGACTATATTTATAGACATTTGGATGAGTGGAGGATAACGGGTGTGTAGATTCTACTGTGCAGTGTGCAAAAGGAGAGATCCCACTGGCTCACCGCTCGAGTACATGATATGTACCTGTCTGGAACGGGCATAGGGAAAATTGGAATGAGTCCGCGGGATAAGAGTGAACATGAGTCTTCGTATCATATGGCTAGAAGGAGAAATCAGAGGAATAATGGACCATCATCGGAGGAGGAGTGCGACGTTGGCCTGGCCAATTTTATCCAGGGTCCAGGTCGTCATGAAAACCTAGCGACTGGGAGAATACAGTACAAGGAATAATCCACAAGTAGCAGAGGGACGACCGAAGACATCTCACGAACAGCTACTGGGGGAAAGGCATCCCGAGAGATTGAAAGAATCCGAAGACGGGGAAAGCCCCCAGTTTCGAGCTCGACAGGCGTTTTCGGTCTGGAATGTGCTCTGTAAGATTTCGCCAAGGCCCTCATACGTGGTGCAGTATCAACAGAGTCGAGAGAGGCAAGGCCCCGTCGCGTTGGTCAAAGCGAAGATTAGTTGATGGTCTAATCTTAGTCCTTTCGGGTAATTCCAAGATGCCCGGTCCGATATCCAGTGGTTGATCGCGAACGACCGCCTCAGAATCCTTACTGCCTCAGCGAGTATGCAAGAGTGTCGAAAAAGCTAGCTCATAGGTCTATGATTCTAGTTCTTGCTGCACGCAACTCTGACCTTGGCCGAAACTGAAGCAGAACCAGTTGTTGAACCGACTTGCATGATAGCGCTATTTGCGACCCACTACTTCTCGATTCTCATCGGCCACATCGCTCTTTGTCCAATCAGAAGTGAGCGGCTACGCAGATGCACCTGGGCGCAAAAACTTGGCTTATTTGTGACTCAGAGTCAATCTCGCAGTCCTATTCTTAAGATAGGCGACATCTCCTTGGTGCTAAATGTGACGCGTAAGCGTACTTCAGAGTCATTGCTAGGGCTGTACTTTTTTTATAGGACGGACGTCCGCTGAGTTGGTCATTTGCCCGCTGTTCAGTTACTAACTCTTTTACAATTGCAGTTACCGTATACTGCGCTGTCCCGCGTCTTTTGTCTCAGTCATGATTCATGAATGCCAACATGTTTCTATGTGCCGTCAGTGCCCCATTATAATACACAACTTCGTCTAGCCAGAGCTGAGACTCACACTCCGCATCCTCGGCTGTTTCTACCTAATTTGGTGATCCCACAGGAAGGTCGCACACTGTCCGCCTGAGTCCGGATAGCTTTGTCGTATGCATAGCGGGAGTGGGACATTTGTGCTGCGACTACACGGCTCCACCCGTACGTCTGAGCGGAATTACCACTAGGCTCTCTTGACAAGCACAAAGATACCTCCCGCCACACACTCCCAAGCTACCAGTCCCTTAGCTATATCCGATCGTGATCACAGGGGCAAGAGTGGAGGCGTTCAAATTCCTGACGCCGCTCTCGCTACTAAACCCTACACCACCATTAATTGATTCCCATGGCCAACGTCATCATGATCTGACAAGAATTGAGTCAATAGAGAATGCCATCTCTTCTGTTCACTCTGTCATCATCTCTTCCTCCTCCTCCATGGCCATGAATCTAGGCTTTGGAACTGAAATCGGAGACCTACATGGAAACACTTACCACGCCCTCTACCCAATGCCTTTCGATTCAGTGAGTGCACCTCTACATTGCCGCGCCCTGTCAAGGAGTGATGCAGTGTCACCATTTAGTTACCGAAGCGGGTCTCTGGCAGTTTCATGAGATTTCATTGTGGCGCACGTCCGAGCTCACGAAGCCCCACTGGTTGGAACCCCGTTTTATATCCTCTGTCTTTTGCCCGTTGACACAAGGTCCCTCAAGTCGGACTATCATGCGTTGACCCCTTCGTTTCAAATTCTGGTGATCATCGAAGAAAGGTCTGCTCACCCACGCTGGATTTCTAGAAGGCGGCGAAAGTCTTCTTGTCATACTATATGACAAGGTTTCTCACTACTGCGTCCTCTGCTTGTCATCATATCTACTGACATCCGTTCATTAGTGAGCTTTCCGAAAATCTACCTCTCTGTCTGGATATTTACCCGAATCCAGATAATTTAGTCGCTTATCTATACGTCCCGCTTACCCTAGCTTTCCGGCTCGAAACTAGTCATCCGCGCCCCATCCTACAATTATTGTAGACTATAGCGAACGAGCGAGATGATGTTACACAAATTATAGTAGCAGCCTCTTCCCGAATCTGAAAATTTGAAGAGGTCCTACACTATAGTCTTCAATGAGCGCCGATCGCTGGGAGTTTTACAGAGGAAATATGTAAATACATAGGCAGCGAATGACGAAATTGTGATCTCTGTCTTAGCCCAGTTGGTAGAGCGCGTCACTAGTATATACAGGTTAAGGAAATGCTATGACGAAGTCAGTCGTTCAAGTCGGCTAGAGGGAATAGTGGTGCATACGGGCAAATTTTTTCTTGGACACATAGGTTGTTCCATGTTCATACACCTATGGGCATGTTTTATTGGTCAACCGCCAGTGGTAACTGACCCCAAGTGCTCCTTGTAGGGGATTCACCTAGCGTGCATGATAGACACAACTGCATCTTTCTTGTATCTGTCTTCCGGGTTCCCCAGATGGATTACAGCTCCTGCCATATGTAAATGAGAACAGGTAGGGTGGACGTGTGCTACCCTAGAATCCAGAACACCGAAGCGCATGAAATTCACCGGTTTAACGATGGACAGACGGCGGACGCTGTATTTTTATAATCGACTCTTGAAATGTGACGCATCGCATCGCAAAGCTGACAGATCAGCGATGTGAGTTGAGAATCATATTTTGATCATACACGCCTCGACAGCAGCAGATATCATACATACACTGGGTATATGTTATGACAAGCGATAATTCTGCTGATCGAATTCTTAATTCCCCAAGTTTATTATTCACGGACAGATATTTTGTGATCCTTTTTGTCAACCACGACTTGGGAAGGCGAGGAGCAGGCTGTAGATTCCGAAATGAACAAAAACACAGTTTATGGGAAGAGCTAAAAGTAGACGGAACGAAGCGGCGTTGTGCAGAAATTCCGAGGAAAACGCGTCGCCGGTCCGTGGGCATCTAGTGTCCGGGGGATTTCTACCGTGATCGAGACGAGCCTTCCTTCCTTTTCTTCCTGACGCCCGACGTCTTGGGAGTCATGCTGCACTTCTTCTTCGTGCCTTATCTTCATTTTCTTTTACTGGACCAAAAAAAAGACGTTGGCTTTCATGTGTTGGATGAGGACAAAGGCGAGAATAGAGCGCGTACCCAGCCAGGTGAACTCAGATTCTTACCCTGTGTGGGCTTCTCTCTCTGTATCGCGCACAATTCTTTGATCAACCTTCTCTGCTGTTTTCTAGTGGTTTTTCGATGGATCTTCCCCGAGTCGGGAATATTCTTGGAGAGGACAGGTTCTCAGATTCTCTTGGCACAAGGATTGAAACCGGTGAGTCTTTATACCGTTCTTGAAACTTCCTCCTGGTCTCAATCTCCCATCTTTCGACGCTGTAGGAATTCACAAATGCAGACTTGTTGAACTAGTAACTGGCAACGCTTCCTTCACGAGTCTTTGAAGGAACACGTTCCCTTTTGCTGTCGTTGAGCATGATAGCCCTATGCAACTGCACAGTTTGTTAGATGGTGAGTCCTTCCGTCTCCCCGCCCAAAATTCCTTGTCATTTAGAATGCTGCATCATGAAGGATCTATTCAGCGCAATGTTCTATACCTCTTGGTAGGCTATTTCCATCTCACCTGATGATGATTTCACTGACACCCTTTCTCAGATACGTCTTGTATTTACTTAGGCTCGAATAAAAATGCCATTTTCCCACATGCTCCTTCTTTTGCGCGAACACGCGACTATACTTTTCTTTAGAGTCCAAGGTCAGGCTACCTGCCGCATAGCAAGATGTCTGTCGTTCCCTCTTCGTCTTTTCACGGCTTGGTGACCTGTTTTCTATGCTCTATGTCTGACCGGTTTCCATGGGACTCTTACGTCTCCTTTAGCTTCGTGCCTTCCCTATTACTAGCAAGTGGACTAGTGTATAGGAAGTCGATCAATCACATCGGAACCATGTTAGCCTGGAATAGGAAGTTTTCCTTTTCCACCACCAGATAACGAAGGCAAAGAGAGAGACATGTGTACCTTCGGTCCGATAGACTTACTTTCGGCTGTTGGGCTCCCTTCTATCGAAAGGTACGTGAGCCATGACAAATATGCTTCCGCGCAACATCATGTAACGAACCATTCAGTTGGTATTTCACCATCTTCGGTGGTGTAGTGGTGAATAGATCTCGCCGCCTGAGTTCGAATCCTCACAAGAAAATAATAACGGCAGTAACTAAGTTTTTATGCTTCAACTTAAATAAGGAACGAAGAGTGATTACATCGAACGAGAAGATAAACAGGAACGTCTGTCTGGGATCGAACTAGTCCTGGCTATGGAAGAATGCGGGCTGGTAGCAGGAACTAGACCACCACACTTGAGAAGAAATGAGAAAGGTAGAGTCATATAATGCTTATCGACACAAAATTCTCTTCGCGTTTACTAGTAAGGAAGCGGCTCAACAAGCACAACTCCAGTCATCCTGCAAGGAAGGAAGATTCGGAAGGTGGACCACCCCGACGAACGACTTCAATTAGGATGCGATATTCGATGGAAACCATATGAAGTACGGTACGCGTAAGCTGGAAGGGATGTATCAATTAGCTTCGCCAGAGATTAAAGAGGGTTAAATTCGCATACCTGGGAGTCTCGTTTATGACGCAGGACTGCGGCCATAACGCACAGTGTAACAAGAGACCTATCTCTTGCCTGCCGAATTCCCTCACGTTGGCCCACCACTGTCGATAAGCCGTGCTGATAGAGAGGAGCAGTATGCTTAGGATTGTAGAGACTCGGCGGGATGTCTGAGTTGGCGCATGTACACCCACGAGCCATTAACCGAGATCCAGCACTTTTGATAGAACGTACCAGATCAGCGGGTAGCAAAATCAGGGGGAGGAAGAAAGCTGAGACGAGGCAGGAGAAAGGGTGTGTGCCACAAAAGAGGTCTTCTCGTGATGCGGATCCTCATATGAACGCTGTCAACGAGGGCGGAGGGAGTGGAAGGCTCTCCCTTCTCCACTGCTAGCACCTTTCTGTTCGATGCGGATGAACAAACATGGATGTATGCACGTGATGGAAGCAGAGCAGGAAGATGTCAGAGGGGCGTCGTCGCGTCAAAGGATAGGTGCTTGCACGGAAATGGATATCAACTCGGTAATTGAAGGCAGCTCAAAGACCTGCTGATGGGAAGTAGGCGTTCCCTGTAAACACACATCAAGGGACAACATAGAGCGAGAGGCTGTAAAACTTAGCATACATCAGCCTTAATGATATAGACTGAGCGATGTAGGATGAAGTACGTTGGGACGAGGTGGATATATGCTTATGGCCTTGATAGCATGATGTCGGAATGCGGACCAGCAGAGGCGAGTCGGGGAAATTTCCTCTCGATAAGGTCGGGAGATGGAATCGGCCACAGATCGTCCCATGATACAAAGGACATCCACACATGATCCTAGCCTCCTCATGCCACCGATGGATGGGCTTGGTTGATGGCGTTGATGGTCATAGGGCACCGCTTGCTATTATCAATCAGCGCACTGACAGGAGCGGGCAGTGTGGCTTAACATACCTTGGCGCTCCGGCCTTCTTCCGCTCCTTCTCATCCTATCGCTAAGCTCCCTCTGCTCGAATGCTGAGGCCGAGCCAACGATGGTCGTGGACGAATGGAAAGTGGAGCCGCGGCAGCAGTAGAGACAGTCAATGACGGTTGTGGCAGGACTGTGAGAAGCATACAAAGACAAGGCTGGAAGGAATGGGATGAGAGTGTGCACTAGAATGGTAGGGATTAGCCATGCAAGTATTGTACATGTAGAGGATGACGTACCTGGCAACCATCCACCTCGCCTGTGCGGGGTTGGTCGCATTATCCTTGAAGGATCGGACAGTAAAGGTCCTCTGCGCCTCCGCTGGTGCGCATAGGCTGGGGCCGAAGCCGAGTCATCTATCACCTCCTCTTGACCTGGCATCATAGTAGTCCCCTGGACGTCGGCTCCCCATTCGCACGTCCGCCTATGGGTGCACTCGGTAATCGGAGGCGCATCGAATCGGTCTACGAGCTGCTATCAATCAGCAGGTAGTGTAGCTTAACATACCTGAATAGGTTCCCTGACCCTCGCTACATCCTGCAGCATCGTGTTCGTGGATGTATGGATCGACATGCCGATGATCCCAGCAGTAGGAACCGAGCAAGCATGACCGAGGGTCGGGTACAGACTGGCTGCTGACACGGGCTAAGACTTATCGACGGGACGAAGGGCGCAGGCACCTCACTACTCGGTTTTCCCGATCCGAACACAAAGGTCCACAAGAGGCGTGCGAGATGGAAGGGGCTTGACATTGAACCTCCGTCTTCAGCACACGCGCGAGATAGCAAGGGTTATGGATAGTAAGGGTTATCCGCATTCCGCGTCAGGTTGATCCCGAGTGCCATGGTGGGAGTTGAGAAAAGGGCATGTATCGCTGACGTAATTAAAAAGCCAGAGTTCGATCCTCGGCGAGGATAGATACCATGCCGTGTACAAATTGCTCGGTCACCGATCATCGATTCATCTTTGACTACACGAACGATCGTCCCTCCAATGGTGCAGCAGTATCACTGTCGAGCTGTGTTCGACTCCCATCCAGGGTCCTTAGAACGTGATCTTTGTTTCTTTTTTTTGAACATTCCTCTAGCGTTGACGAGGAGGGAAACGAGATGCTATGCTACAGCCCGTGCAACGCTCTTTCTTCCTGGTTCCCAGGAACGATTGAGATTGTATTACTGCGAATCCCAACACTCGGAGTGCTTCCAGCTCTGTCGATGATTACCTTTAGGTATCCACTTCATCCTGTCTCCCGATTAGTGTAGTCGTTAGTGGGTTCGACTCCTCATGATGGTGAGTCAGACACGATTTTTGTGCTTTATTCATATACGGAGAATTTGAGCACACATATCACCCACGCACTGGGTTCAAATTCCGAATCACAACAACCAGAGAACGCTTGGCTCCAGCTCTTTTTCCATTCCATTTCGTCTCCTCATTAGTGGGTTCAATTCCCGGGAACAACACACATTTTTATGCTTCATGCCAAACTCCAGAGGCAAAACTCGGCGTTTTGTGGTGCAAAGAAATTTGACGTCTCCCTCCTAGGAAGGTTCAAATCACCGTAGGAGAATATTGCTTTAACTTTTTCGGTTTACATAAGGACAGGGAAGCGCAAGCCGACTTTGGAATTGCTACCATTAATATTCAGGGTGCATTGCTCCTCCAAGAGAGAGATAATACATCTAGGCGCTTCCCTTCAGTTGTATGG